TAAATTTTAAGAGGTCATGTAATTTATTCATTGACTTACAGACAGGAAGGGAAAGAGGCTAGACTATTTAGATCCTGTTTGTTATAGAGAAATCAGATTGAAGATTAACAGAAATGTTAAGTTCAGATTGTTGGAATTCAGATTTCCAGCCTACATCTCTCATTTTCTCTACTTCGCCCCACAGAGAGCAGTGTTTTGTCCATCTTACAGGTCTCATTTGTCTTACATCAACTTCCCAAAACTGTTGTATATATATTTTTAACAAATATAGGAGAACAATATTGATGGATCTTGGATAAGTTAATTACCTTAATTAAAATTAAGTTAATCGTTAAAATTAATCATTAAAATACAGTTAATTTCTGAGTCTTTTTCAGAAATAAAAATTCTTGTTTGTTGTTACTGTTAGGTGCTGTCGAGTCAGTTCTGACTCATAGCAACACTGTGTACAGTAGAATGAAACACTACCTGTTCCTGTACCATCCTCACAATAATTGCTATGTTTGAGCCCATTGTTCTAGCCACTGTATCAGTCCATTTCACTGAGGGTCTTTCTCTTTTTCACTGACACTCTACTTTACCACAGATGATGCCCTTTTCTAGAGTCTGGTCCTACCTGATACATATCCAAAGTACGTGAGACAAAGTCTCATCATCCTTGCTTCTAAGGAGCATTCTGGCTGTAGTTCTTTCAAGACAGATTTGTTCATTCTTCTGACAGTGCATGGTATAATCAATATTTTTCTCCAAAACCATAATTCAGAGGCATGAATTCTTTGGTCTTCCTTATTCATTCTTCAGCTTTCAATGCACATGAGGCAACTGAAAATACCATGGCTTGGGTCAGGTACACCTTAGTCCTCAAAGTGACATCTTTTCTTTTTTTTTTTTTTAAAGAAAAAAGAACACTTTGAACAGGTCTTTTGCAGCAGATTTGCCCAATGCAATATGTGTTTTGATTTCTTGACTGCTGCTTCCATGGGGCTTGCTGGTGGATCCAAGTGAAATAAAGTCCTTGACAACTTCAGTCTTTCCTCTGTTTATCGGGATGTTGCTTACTGGTCCATTGGAGAGGATTTTTTATTTCTTTATGTTGAGATGTAATCCTTACTGAAGGTTGTGGTCTTCTTTCTTCATCAGTTAATGCTTCAAATCCTCTTAACTTTCAACAAACAAGGTTGTGTTATCTGCATACCACAGGTTGTTAATGAGTCTTTATTCCTGATGCTCTATCTTTCTTCATATAGTCTAGCTTTTTGGATTATTTGCTCAGCATACAGGTTAAATAAGAAAAGTGAAAGGATACAACCCTGACACACTTTTCCTGATACTAAACCATGCATTGTTCTATTCTAATGACTGTTTTTTTCTGTGTTTAGTTTTGATGGTTTAAATTTGGAGAACATTTAGATTGTGTCATTCATCTAACTTTTTGTTTTGTTTTTAAGAATTAATTTCAGGAGGTATGAAGGTTGGATGAACCCCTGAAACGGTTCTCCTGAAATAATCTTTAAATCTTAAATCAAAAATACCCTTATGTCTTCATGAAACCAAACAATAGTTTAGCTTAACTAATAAAAAATGTCTGCCTTGAACATTATGCTCTTTTAAGAACTATGTATATGACACCAACTTGATAACAGCAACTTGAAAGGTTAGATAGTAATCTTGGGGGCAGTGAGTTTATGTTAATGGGAGAAGAATAACTCAGAAAAGGAGGGTGAGAATGATTACACAACTAGAAGAATGTAATTATTGTCACTAAATGGTACATGTAAAAACTGTTGTTTGTTTTGCTGTGTATATTCTTAACAAAACACACACACACACACACACACACACACAAGAATTAAATTCAACCATGTATCAGAAAGCATTACCTGACTTTCCAGAACATAAGTTTTAATTCTCAAATACTTAGGTATATTTGTGGCAGAATAATTGAATCCTTGTCATTTAGGATATCTGATATAAAAACAAAATGTAAGATTGTTTTTATGAATAATTTAAGAATTATAAACAAAATTTTTCTTCTAAATATTATGAGCAAAATTTTGTTGAAAGCTAAAACTAATACTGTTATAATTCAAATAGAAGAAATTAAGTAATCTCTTACTTTCATTTACTTTTTCTTTATGTTAAATTTGCAATTCAGTCTAAATCAAATTTAGGGGAAATACTAGGCAAAGAAAAAACCTTTACCTAACCATAATTTTTATAGGTATTGTTGTCCTCCTGTGGAAGCTAGCAGATATGGAAAATATTGTTACTTCAGCAGTGGTCCTTTAAATAGCCATACTAGTTGTATAAAATATGTTTAACAATAACCTAAAGTTAAAATCCTTTTGAAGGATTTCTACAAAAATTTATGATGCTTATTTTGATGTAAGCGAAAGGAGTCCTTCATTTTCTGACAGTCAAACAGTATCTATTAAATAAAAAGGTAGATTAGAATTTATGTGGCATCTGTCACTTTAGGAGACATATAAACCTTTTTCTTGGCCTATGTATGTTTTATCATTTCTGCATGACTCTCTTTACCTTATTTTTCACTAAGCATACCAGTCTAGTAAATGGGATATTTGCTATAAACATATTTTAAAATAAGATTGATTATACTATTTTATAAACATTGAAAATGCTTTGAAAAAACTAGGATTAAGAAATTACCTATTATGTATAGATAACTATACATTTCTGCTGATTGGCTTTTTAAAAATGGAACATCTCAAGTTTATCTGAAAACTGGTATAAAATTCATTTTGAATTTTTAATCATTTGAAAACAAGTATACACGCCGATGTTCATCGCAGCACTATTTACAATAGCCAAAACTTGGAAACAACCTAGATGTCCAACAACTGAGGAATGG